GGGGCAGGGCGGGGCAGTCCTACTCTGTTCTGGAATGGCAGAGAACACCTGGAGCATTGTGTGTGATTCCGGGCTCCACACTTTAAAAGAGCGTTACTGACACACCTGAAACTCAGCCCACGGTGAGTGCTCAGCATGGTGAAGTGTCCGAGTAAAGAGGAGACTCAGAGAAGGTTGAATAGTATTTGAAGTGCCTTTGTGTAGTGAAGGATTAGATATAATCCATATGTTTCCAGAGGGAAAAACTAGGCTGCACATGTAGAGAATAAAGGAGGTGGATTTGGTTCCTCATAGGGAGGAAGGGCTGCCTGGTGTTTGCAGCTTTTTAGAAATAAAATGAGCTTCCTTGTAAGAGAATGAATTCTTTTTTATTGTTGAAGAACCTGAATGACCACTTATCGTGGGTGTCAAACACTTACATGTTAGGTGTGGTGGTTCTTAATTTTAGTGGGTATAAGAATCACCTGGGGAGCTTGTTAAATACTGATTTCCAGGCCTCACTTTTAGAAGGATTGACTCAGTAGATCTGGGATAATATCCAAGAATATGCATTTTTAACCAACAGCCTGGTGGGTCCAAACCAGGTGGTCAGTGACCCACCCTTAGATAAACTCTGAAATCTCTTCTACTTATTTTGAAAATAAACATTTAGTAAAAAATGTGTTTCGTCAACATAATGACTATTCAAAGAAAGTTGTCTTAAGTTTTACAAAAGATTCAAGACAAAATTCTTTATATATTGACAGTTACAATTAGAGATGAAATTATTGGAAAGTAGGATATGGAAGAAGAAGGCTTGCTTCTCAATCTCTGTCAAAAAGACAGGACTTTAATAGTAAAACGGAAGATATAAATCCAGTTTCAAAATCTTTAAACACCTTAAAGAACCCACTCTACATATGCCAAGGGGCAATCTCACATGGACCTAGAAAAAGCAATCTGATTATCCTAAAAGGCAGCGCCTGTGTAAGGTTAACATCTACCAGGGTTTGGGACTCAGGCTTATATAAATTTCAGCCTAAAACTAACAAACAGGTGTGGTTGAGAATTGGAAATTTAAAGCATAGTTGGTCTTCTAGCTCTGGCCCACTTTTTGTTGGGGCTAAAGAGTTTTTGCTGGCAAGTATAATATGTTTGATTCATCTTAACTTTTACCTAAAGCATGCAACCCAAGAGCCACAATTTAGAATGATGCTGTATCCTGAAATGCTTTTGTTCTCCGCAAATGCATTTTTAAACAGTGGTGCTTGGTGTAATTACTGTCTTATATCAGGACTTTTAAAATGTAAGTTGCATAATGATGTTTCATTTGTTTCTTAAGTGTATTAAAGTTTTTAAAAATATGCTTTTTTTCCTTTGAAAATCGTTAAAAACGGGCTCATTGAGGAACTGGTATTCTTGGCTGTTTTGGTGATTGATACTATTGATGTGCTTATTTAGTTAATTAAGGACTAGCAAACGATTTTTGTTTTAAATTTAAGGTTTATAAAATTTCCAAATGGCAATTACATGTTGATAAATTAGACCCTTGTTTCTTTTTAATTTCTCCTTGCTTCCTTTTAATGGATGCAGACCTCCTCATAGAGTTTTCTTGAATCATGAGAGATGAAATTGCAACAACAGTTTTCTTTGTCACAAGATTGGTGAAAAAACATGGTAAATTGAGTAAACAGCAAATAGAAAACTTTGCAGAACAGCTGATGACTATCTTGTTTGAAACATACAGAAGTCACTGGCACTCGGATTGCCCTTCTAAAGGGCAAGCCTTCAGGTGAGAGCTAGTATGTAGTGTGGCAAAGGGAAGTAACAACCAAGTAATAACCACAGGCAATGATTTTGTTGGCAGTCTATCAGTAATGAAAGTTTTATGGGCTTACATTTATTTGTTTGAACATGGGCTTGAAAGAAAGAGATGCAGTAGGTGACAGCATGGTTGAAAATTAAAGAACAAACCCCCTTATGTGAGGTGGATTAAACAATTTCTAACTTGTGTTTACCATGAAAGATATGCAATGAACATTCAGTGAACTAACTGTGTGGCTTAGTGATGCAACCCACATTCTGAGGTGCTGGAGAAAAGTTGAGGAT